GGGGAATGTAAATTCTTGAGTTTCACTGGAACATAACGTACTGCAAACCCCTCTAGAACAGGGTTCAGAAATGTGTATGAAATCCTAATCTACATGAAAGTTGAGAACTGCTGAACTAGAGAAATAGGTCTGAACTGTAAAGAAATCCTTGGAGGTAGATCATCCAATCTGGTGCACCCATTCTACACAGTAGAATCATCTGAGAAGTTGTACAAAGGTGTAGTCTAGTCCCACCTCCTCCACAGCTGAATCTGAATTTCTAGAGCTGAGACCCAGCCATCCAATTGTTTCTAATACTCCCAAGTGGTGCCAGTATGCAACCGGGTTTCTGCGAAGCACTGATCTCATAAACCTGTTCATGAGAAGACTCAGGATGAGAGAATTGTTTAAGATTATACAGCAAGTTCAGGTAAAACTGTATCTCTGGAATCAGTAGTAAACTGTCTTCTTCATGATTGTTTAAACACTAATCCAAAACTTTTTTGCCCTAAGATAACAATTTAATCCAGTTTGCCTTAAGATAAATCACTTACTCATTCACAGTGACAAATACAACTGCCAGATTTTAGAAGAAGAAATAGATTACAGACAATAAAAATTCAGTTCTCAGCCAGGTGCCAGTGGCTCATGCCTGTCATTCTAGTACTCAGGAGGCTGAGATCTGAGAATCATGGTTTGAAGCCAGTCCAGAAATGAAAGTCTGTGAGAGCCTTATCTCCAGTTAACCACCAGAAAATTGGAAATCGAGCTGTGGCTCAAAGTGGTAGAGCACTTGCCTTGAGTGGAAAAGCTCAGGGACAGTGCTAAGGCCCTGAGTCCAAGCCTTATGACTGACAATAATAAAAGAATTCAGTTTTTATTTACATAAGTGGTATTTCACACATTAGAAAATACTCCTTATTGTAACAACTTGGTAAAAGTATATATTTTGAACACTAATTGAAAAGATACAGGGAGATATGTTTATACAGAGGTTTATTTGTGTGCATATAATAACTCTTTTTTCAAACTCTAGGTGGAGCTCTTTGGTCTTTATATATATAAATTTATTTATAGTTTTGAGCCTCTTTTTTTTTTTTTTTTTTAAAGAAGGAGCTATTTTGAGCTTAAAAAACATTTTAAAATTCATAATGAGTATTGTCAACATTTCTCAGCTCAATTTTTCTGCTTCTTTCAGGGCTATAGAGTTAAATTTTTATTTTTGTTTTATTGCTGGACCAAATCCAGATAAAGGCTTTAGAGTCATGTTCATATCAATCTTAAATCTGTGCTGTTGTCTCCTAGTATTTTATGAGCAGAACGTGCTTCTCATGTTTGTTGTTTCTGATAAGCCTTGGTGCTGAAGTGGAATTTCTGTGAGGCGTGTCTTCCTTTATGAATGATGCCAGTGGAGAAGGTCCCTGTGGATAACACAGCTGTTGCTATAGTAATCTCTTCAGCTATTTTTAACCCACTGTGCAAAAGAGCATTAGCAGCTATGTTCTTACAACATACATGAAACATTTTGCTGTGACTTCCTTTTCTCTTCCTTCTCATTTTAGTAGTTGGGAGGACTTTATGGGGATATACTTCCCCATATAGGAGGCATGTTATTTGTAAATGGTACAAGCTAATGATTCAGTTCCTAGACTGCAGTACCACCATTGACATCACCTAACAATTTATTGGAAATTAAAATTCTCAGGTTCCACTGTACCCTGAGCTAGAAATCTTGGGTGGGGTTCAACTGTCTGTGTCGACACTGGCATAAGCTATTTAAAAGGATTCTGTATTCGCTGGATCCAAGTTCCTTCTGTGTAGTCATTTTGCTCATGTTGGGTTTCTCCAGTGTTTATCAAATCGCCCGTCGATGTTGATCAAGGAAAGGATTCTCAGTAGTAAATTAGGGGTAGACCCTAAGACCCTGAATTTCTAACAGACTCTCAGGAAGTATGGATTTTGCTTGCCCTGGAACATGTTTTGAATGGTGACAATATTGACCAGCCAAATAGCACATGGTTAGACTTAACCCACGTCTACATATAAAAGAGTTATATATGGTTTAGTGACATACAGTATACTTTTGGTTTAATATGCCTAGAACCAGCAAGTTCTTACTTACCATTCACAGTGATGGCAATTTCTGGGCTACAGTGTTCTCTTGTCTAGTTTAAAGTGAAGAAATCCTGGCCAAGTGGTAGCGTCTAAGAGTCAGTCAGGCATGCATACATGCGTAGTCAGTAGTTCAGAGTGTCAAGCTTGACTTCTTGTCTAGGAAGGATTATAAAAGCTGGTGCTAGTTGCTCATGCCTGTAAATCCTAGCTATTGGAAGGCTGAGATAGGGAGGAAGATGAGCAGAAAAGTTCACGAGCCAGGTGCTGGTAGTTCATGCCTATAATCCTAGCTTACTTAGGAGGCTAGGACTCGAGGCTCATAGTTCAAAGCCAGCCTGGGCAGAAAAGTCCATGAGACTCTTATCTCTAACCACCAAAAAGCAGGAAATAAAGCTGTGGATCAAGTGGTAGAGTGCTAGCCTTGAACACAAAAGCTCATGGATAGCACCTAGACTCTTGAGTTCAAGTCTCAAGACTGACACAAAGAAAAGACAAAAAAGTTTGAGACTCCCTCACCTGTAGCTAGACATGGTTTGAAGAGTATCATTAATGAAATATGCAGTTCCAGAGGTTAGAGTCTGGCTCAGTTGGCAGAGCATTAGCCAGTGAGCAAAAGCAGCAGGTACTGAGTTCAAGTCCCAGATCCAGACCTAAAAAAAATACACAGCTTGAGTTGAAATAATAGACTGGAAGCTGAAACACTTCACTGGGTGTGTAATGATGAGTGAAAGTGGAAGAAATATAAAAAGGAAGAGAATTGGCAAATGGGAAATAGAGGGAAATGGGAGAAAAGTGAAAAAAATAATTACATGAAAGGCAGGGGTGTTTGGGCTATATACCTGTCCTTGGTGAGTCTTTTGTTGCTAACCACCTTATTCTTACTTTCCAACTAGCCTTTTTGGAGATGCTATATGGACCAGGTTGGTTCAAGTGGTGTTCCCTTTTTCCTAATTTGAAGTTTCTGCATTACGGTATTCCATTCACATTTACTCTTTGGTTTTGCATCTTCCTTTAGGATTCTGCTTTATTTCCCACAGTCAGAGAATGTATTTTGAATACTAATAGTCATAAATTCCAAAGGACCTCCTCCAACCCCCTCACCCCCAAAAGATATTTTTTAAAAATCTAGTACTTGGAGCAGAGGGAAGCTGCTTGTAATAGCAATGGCAGGTATCTCCATGCCCCAGCTAGGATGATAGTAAGATGGTTGCTTTAGGGTGGAAAGAAGACGGTGCCAGGAGAACATTCTGAACCAGTCTTTGTAGGATGGGTACTCCCTCTCTTCACCCCAAGGAAAAACCAAAGCATATTGGACCCTTGGAGTCCTTCTTAGATCCTTCTTAGGATTTTTCTTCTGGGAAACCCATGTAGCTATTTCTCTACAATTACCAGCCATTTTGTAGATTCTCTAAAAGTTCTTGGAATCCATGTAAAGATACTGAGTCAGAGCCACTTGATCTCATTTGATGTAGAAAACCCTACTATGACACCTTACTATGACAAATCACATATGTAACACTTTTTAATGAGAAGTGTGAAGTTTTACCTTCTGGCTTAGTCATTCCCCCAATATTACAGCTTGATCCATTGGTCCAGTGGTGCCTCACTATTATTTTTGTCTGAGTACAGCCTTAATTATTGACTTTGTGCTGTCTATATGGTCAGCCAGTGAGACCAAAGCGTGTATGTATCTGTCCTTGGTGGTACCTTGAGAACATCCAGGGGCTTTTTTTTTTTTTAAGTTTCCAGTATAGCTTGAGCTGATAGCCCTTTGGACTAGTATTTATTCATTCCATGATTACGAAGTATCTATTGGGTCAGGCAGAGTATTGGGAACTGTGGATATGAAGATAAGTAATGCATCTCTTGCCCTGAAATACTTGAGAGGAGATGGTGGGTAAACAGAAGAATGTGTGTACAGGATGAAGCAAGACATGGAGGATTTGGTCAAGAAGGGTCTTAGGAGCTTTTTTTTTAATTGTGAAAATACTGTACAGAGGGATTACAATTACATGGGCAAGATAATGAGTACATTTCTTATCAAGCATTGTAGCCTCCTCCTTTGTTTCCCCTTCCCATCCCATCCTTCCCCCCCAACCCTCCCCCCCACCAAAGTTGTAAAGTTCGTTTTCGACATAACGACTTGTACGTCTCATTGTTGCAATGGGCCCACCTGTATCCCTATTTAAACGATTTGGTTTTTCCCTTCCCCTCCCCTTGTTAAAGGACTTTATCCATTTGGAAAGTCAATGCCCAGAGTGGTCTCCATTGTGATACTGTGCCATTTTACATTGTGCAGATCACATCTGCATCTTAAGTTTGGCTGACCTTTCTGCTTTCTGTCAAACATAGGATGAGGTAAAATTAGATTGTAGGTAAGACCAGTGCAGGAATCAGACAACTGAACATACTCACCCTCTCACTGGCAAGATGGTCAGGCTACCTTTCTGCTCACCTTCAAGTTCCCTTGTAGCCATGGAAACATATCATGATTCTACAGCAATTTCGCATATGTATCCTATTGTTCACCTTCCCTACATTCCTAGTCACACACTTACCACTCCAGTCCTCTGGTAATACTAGAAAGAGCCAGAAAGAGCCAGAATATCAGCATATACTTTTAGAGACTTGTAGGGCAGCAGTCCTTCATGGTTTGTGAGTGTGAGTGTGTGTGTGTGTGTGTGTGTGTGTGTTTCAGATGATTACATTTGATCTAACCATCACTAACGCTAGACGGCAGCCCTTTGGTCTCAAACTCTTGCTGAAGATAGACCAATCAGTGTGTCATCACCCATTTCCTCACCTGGATTTTTATTCAGGCTTCTAATGCATTTATTATTCCCTCTGTCTCCTCAACTGACAATTTTGATAAGCATTATTTTTCTTTCTTTTTCTGAGATACAAACCATCACAAATAGGCTTTTTATTTGTCATTATTAAAAATATGAATTTTAAACAGATTCTTGGACTGCGGGTTTGTATCCATCAGCTTACTCGACTTTGGCATCAGTTTCATCTCCAGTAGCTTTTTTTTTTGGGGGGGGGGGGTCCGATTGTGGGGCCTGAACTCTGGCCTGGGCGCTGTCCCTCAGCTCTTCAGCTCAAGGCTAGCGCTCTACCACTTGTGAGCCACATTGCTACTTCCGGCTTTTTTTTTTTTTTTTCCTGCTTATGTGGTGCTGAGGAATTGAACTCAGGGCCTCATGCATGCAAGGCAAGTGCTCTACCACTGAGCCACCTTCCCAGCCCTCCAGTAGCTTTTCCAGAACTACTGCCTTCACCATGAAGCTCCATGAGTTTTCCCAATTCAAACTTGAGCTTCTTCAGCATTTTTACTTTTCTGACGAAGATATCATGAACTGGCAAGATAAATAGACTGGCAAGCCTTTTCTATGTCTTTCCCAGTGCTGGAATTGGTTAATCAATTACTTCTTTCAAGTATTTGTATGTACTTCTCGGATCATGGTGTCCATCATCCTCCTTCAGATCTGGCAGACCTGCTGTGCTGAGGATAGGAGGTCTTGCATAGTAAAACCAACACAGAACCGACCAAGCAAATAACCATCTGTAGTCTTGACATCAACACGAGCTTCAATCATGGTCGGCCACTTTTTGACCATGGAGTACATTTTGTCCCAGATGAGATCCATATCATGGATGTTGGTCAAACAGTTCTTGCCCTGGACATTCTCAGTAATTAGCTTCAATTTTCTAAATGCAACTTCATCCTTCAGCAGATCAGCAAGGCTCACTTTAAACCCCTAATCTTTGAGGCCATCAGAGGTGATTTTTGGTTCCTTGAGTCCTCATGACTAGTATTTTCCCAGTATTTCTTTTTTTTTTTTTTTGTCGGTTGTGGGGCTTGAACTCTGGGCCTGGGTGCTGTCCCTCAGCTCTTCAGCTCAAGGCGAGCGCTCTACCACTTGAGCTACAGCGCCACTTCCGGTTTTTCTGGTGGTTTATTGGAGATAGGAGTCTCACGGTCTCTCCTGCCAGGGCTGGCTTTGAACCGCGATCCTCAGATCTCAGCCTCCTGAGTAGCTAGGATTACAGGGGTGAGCCACCAGCGCCCGGCCCCAGTATTTCAATGTCAGTGCTTCAATGTCAGAACAATTTTTTTTCTTAGAAAATGGATCAACCACTTTTTTCTTGGCTCCCTTTTGGCTGCCTTTTATAAGGTATGTTCTTGCTGACTACCATGGTGCTGCTCAGAGAGCCAAAAGGGATAAGCATTATTTCTATATCATTGTCCACATAATTGATTGTAATACCTAATAGGACAGGGCAAGTAGTATGCCCTAGAAGCTTCCTTCTCATGCATACAAAGACATATTTATAAAGAAGTAATAGTGTGCCAGCTGCCAGTGGCTCATGCCATTTATCCTAGCTTACTCAAGAGGCTAAGATCTGAGGATCACAGTAAAAAAGCCAGATGGGACAAATCTGAGAGACTTTTATCTTCCAATTAACCAGCAAAGAGTAGAGGTATGGTGGCTCAAATGTAAGAGTGACAGCTGTAATTGGAAAAAAGCCCTACTGGGCGTGCATGCACACACACACACACATGCTCACACACACATGCTCACACACACATGCACACACACACACACAGAAAACCCCAAAAGAGGTAATAATGTAAGTCTTTGGGGCCTTATTATAAAATTTAAATATGTAGAAAGTAAGGGATAGCATGTTGAATATCCATATATAGGTCTCACAGGTGTAGTAGTTTTCTGCATTTAAGTCACAAATATAGACAGTTTTTTTCTCTGATTTGAAGTAGCCAACTGTAGAGGACATTTGGGAGATTGATTATTGGAGTTATTTGCATACAGTATAGGTATTAAAATGTTAAGGATTTAATATTAAAAATTTTAGATGTGGTAGAAACATCATTACATAAGAAAATGTCTTTGCCAAGTGCCGATGGCTCAGGCTTGTAATCCAAGCAACTCATGAGGTTGAGATCCACAGGATCATGGTTTGAAGCCAGCCCAAGCAAGAGAGTGTTTGACACTCTTATCTCCAGTTAACCAGTAACAACCCAGAAGCATATTGGTGGTTCAAGTGGTAGAGCCAGTCTTGAGGAAAAAAAAACTGAAGGACAATGCCTAGGCCTTGAGTTCAAGATCCATACAAGCACAAATTTAACAACCCAACAGCTTTTATTCTTTATGACCCTAAACTTATGTTTTTGTTTTTGTTTTTTGTCGATCATGGGGCTTGAACTTTGGGCCTGAACTCGGTCCCTCAACTCTTCAGCTCAGGGCAACAGTTCTACCACTGAGCCACTGCGCAACTTCCAGTTTTCTGAGTAGTTTATTGGAGATAAGAGTCTCACAGATTTTCCTGCCCAGTCTTGCCTTGAACTATGATCCTCAGATCTCAGCCTCCTGAGTAGCTAGATTACAGGTGTGAGCCACTGGTGCCAGTTTAATTAATTAATTAATTTGTTTGTTTGTTTGTTTGTTTATTTTTTGGTTGGCTGTGGGCTTGAACTCTGGGCTTGGGTGCTGTCCCTGCACTGTTCAGCTCAAGGTGAGCACTCTACTTCTTGAGCCACAGTGCCACTTCCAGTTTTTTAGTGGTTTTTATTGGAGATAAGAATCTCACTGACTTTCCTGCCTAGGCTGGCTTTGAACCAAGATCCTCAGATCTCAGCCTCCTGAGTAGCTAGGATTACAGGCGTGAGCCACCGGTGCCTGGCTTAATTTATTTTAATTTTACTTGTAAAAGAGCTGTTATGTTTACAAGATGATGATAATAATGGTGATTAGTACTGGTCCTGGGGTTTGAACTCAGAGCCTGGGTGCTGTCCTTGAGCTTCTTTTGCTCAAGGCTAGCACTCTGCCATTTGAGCCACAGATCCATGGCCAGATTTTTGGGGGTTTAACTTGAGATAAGAGTCTCATACATTTTTCTGTCTGGCCTGGTTTTGAGTCATGATCCTTAGATCTCAGTCTTCTGAGTAGCTAGGATTACAGTTATGAGCCACTGGTGCCCGGCTATAAATTTATTGTTGATTATCATCATGATACTTGTTCTGATGTCTTGAATTATACTGTGTGCTAACTACATTATTTATCTATTTAAGAACAACCTGATGTGTGTTTGTCTATAAAGGTGAATTTTCATTAGTAGAAGCATTACAAACAAATTTAAGTGAAAGAACTAATTTTTTTATTCAGGAGGCTTTTTTTTCACCCCTTAAATGAGTCTAAAAATTTTAAACTGGAAAATTTAATAATAGAGTAAGTAGCTGCAAGCTTCTTTCGAAGTAGTACTGTCAAGTCTATTTTTGGTTTCTTAGGAAACGAGTTAAAAACAGCCTTGTAGTCCTTGATACATCTCTAATTACATTGCTTTCTCCTTTTGAAAGGTTTGTTGTCCTTTTCAAAGGCATAGGGCTCCTTGCTTGTACTAATTGGAATATTGGTTTTAAAAATTCATATTCCCTCCATCCCTGGTCACTAAAAATTCTCTATATAAATGTTTACAAGGGCTAGCACAAAAGTCAGATGCTTTGGGCAAAGCTTTTAAATGGATGTGGGGATGGATTGGGCTTCCAGGTCTGGAGAGTGGTAGAGCGCCACTTTGAATGCAAAAACTAAGTACCAGTATGAGGCCTTGAGTTCAAGTACACATGCCAGTGTTAAAAAAAAAAACACAAGAGCAGAAGTGTCTTGTCTTACAGTTCTAAGGCTGGGAAGTGCAAGATCAGGTGTTGAGGGCTCTGGTGTCTGGCAAGGCTTGTTATCTACTTCCTAGCTGGAACCTTGTTTTATACTCTGAAAGGAACATTACATCCCCACAGGACAGAAGGTGGCTGGACAAGCTGGGTGTGGTAGTTCATGCCTATAATCTCAGCTCCCAGGCAAAGGCTGAGGCAAGAGGCTTCATGTTCTAGGCTGTATCGGACTATCCAGTGAGACATTGTTTAAAAAAATTGAGACAAAATACAAAGAAGGTAGAAAGGGAAGGGAAGGTAGAAAACCAAATGCTGCATGAAGCTGTTCTACAAAGATCTTTTACCTGATTTACACAGAGGAGTCCATGTGGTCTAAAAAAACCTCTTAAGGGCTCCATCTTTTCTTTTTCTTTTCTTTTTTTTTTTTTTGGGTCTGGTCGTGGGGCCTGAACCCTGGACCTGGGCGCTGACCCTCAGCTCTTCAGCTCAAGGCTAGCGCTCTACCACTTGAGCCACAGCGCCACTTCCAGCTTTTTTCACTTATGTGGTGCTAAGGAATTGAACCCAGGGCCTCATGCATGCAAGGCAAGTGCTCTACCACTGAGCCACCTTCCCAGCCCATGGGCTCCATCTTTTCATGTCATCCATTAGCCATTGAGTTTCAATACATGAATTTTCGACTGGGCAACATGAAAATCTTATAGGATGCATCATGTAGAAAACTCATTAAAAGTACACATGAAATTCTGGGATCAAACCACACAGTCAGAACACCTCTGAAAAAAATGGCTAGCTAAGCCAGCTCCAGTGACTTCTCAGGACTCAGTTTCTTTTTAAAAGGATTTTCACTATTTTTAAGATTCTAACTCATTTTTGAAACAGGTACTTACCCTGTAGCTCATATACCTCCTTCTGCAGCCTCCCTGCACTAGAAGCTGTATGTTGAGGGTTCCAGAACAACCAGGTGGGAGGGCGCTAGCCTCAATGGACTTAAGTTCATCAAGTGAACTTTCAAGGCCATAGAAATAAACCCCAATTCATTTATAATGCACTATTTAAATCTCTTTGTCACAGCATCTTAATTGCTCTGTATCCTAATACTTGAGAACAGGAAGTGATTTAGCCACAGTTCTAGAACCCAGAGCCAACATTAACCATTAGACATTGTTAACAGCCATCATGGTGGGTTTTGTGGCATACCTCCTTCCCCATCCCTTCAGAATGACAACATGAGCAGTTGCCCAGTATTGTGCAATGTCTGCTTACTGGCTCTAACCAGACATTATCTTGGGACTCATGGGAGGAGCCTGCATGCAGTAACCAACTGTTGAGGAGTTGCCAAAGCCCCATCTCCTTGACTTCATTGGGAGTCTCTTTGAAGGGCTATGCTGGCTCCAGAGCTTGATAGGAATGGTCAGGGGCTCTGTTAGAACTGTGCTGCAATTTACTTTCTTCCCCTGCCAGTCCTGCTTCCCTTCCTATCTAATCTACTGTTCAAAGGGCATTCCACAATAACCCTGCATTCACATCTTAAACTCTTAAATTTGTAAATCACATCTTTAAACTCTTAAATTTATAACTACATATATTTTCAAACTTGGGGTGATAATGCTGTATTTTCACTAAATATTATATGAGAAAATCTCCCAAGTGTCTTCCCTCCGCTCCCTGCCCCTCCCTCCACCCCCCCCACCCCCCCCAGACCTACACTCCACCTGCTCCACCAAGCTCTGTATTGGGAGACTGACCTCCATGGACTGTGCCTGTGCCTTCTGCCTACTCATTGATGCTGAGAGTAGAGGGTGGGAGGGTGGAAAGGCTCCAGTTTGTGTTTTCTTTCTTGCCAGGCTATGGGTTGGAAGAAGCACCATTCCCATACTAACAGTCCAGATTGTTCTATAGCCTCAGATGTTTCTGTATTTTGCTCAGGCAATTGCTTACTCCCAGCGTCCCGTTCAGTCATGCTAGGAGTGGTAATGCTTTCCTTACTGCTTTCTGCTTGCATTTATTTTTGGTATTTATTCTTCTTGATTACCTCCCTTGATGGTGCCATCCATTTGCTGGCAGGGCCAGGACAGATAGATGGTCTAAAGGCACTTCCCTGCTTCCTGAGACCTCTTTAGAACATGGTTTTGGTTGCCCATCTATAAATATATACATATACCTAACTTCCTTCAACTAATTCCCTACTGTTTTGTTTTGCTTTGGTTTTCTTTCAGAGATAGGTTCTCTATGTAATTCAGGCTAGTTTCACCCTGTGATTGGTGGGTGGGTATACACAATTTTGTACTGTTTTTTATCACAACATATCAAAGCACTTATTATGCTGTTAAAAACTCCCAGTGCATACCTTTCTTAAAAATGACTTCTTATGGGTAGATTGTATACTTTGAATTGTTTGTTCAATAATGATAAGAGCTTTGTTTTGTTCTATCTGATTTCTTTTGTTCAGAGTTTACAATGACTAAGGAAATATATTTTTAAAATGGTTGGCTAGTTACTTCGTGGCTGT